GCTGTCAAGCATACTTGGAAACAGAGGTCAAGGTCAAGCATACTTGGGAACAGAGGGCAAGGTGTCAAGCATACTTGGAAACAGAGGTCAAGGTGTCAAGCATACTTGGGAACATAGGTCAAGGTGTCAAGCATACTTGGGAATAGAGGTCAAGGTGTCAAGCATACTTGGGAACAGCTGTCAAGCATACATGTACTTGGGAACAGTGGTCAAGCTGTCAAGCATACTTCAGAACAGAGGTCAAGGGGTCAAGAATACTTGGGAACATAGGTCAAGCTGTCAATCATACTTGGGAACAGGGGTCAAGCTGTCAAGCATACTTAGGAACAGTTGTCAAGCATACATGTACTTGGGAACAGAGGTCAAGCTGTCAAGCATACTTGGGAACAGGGGTCAAGCTGTCAAGAATACTTGGGAACAGAGGTCAAGCTGTCAATCATACTTGGGAACAGGGGTCAAGCTGTCAAGCATACTTAGGAACAGAGGTCAAGCTGTCAAGCATACTTGGGAACAGAGGTCAAGGTGTCAAGCATACTTGGGAACATAGGTCAAGGTGTCAAGCATACTTGGGAATAGAGGTCAAGGTGTCAAGCATACTTGGGAACAGCTGTCAAGCATACATGTACTTGGGAACAGAGGTCAAGCTGTCAAGCATACTTCAGAACAGAGGTCAAGGGGTCAAGAATACTTGGGAACATAGGTCAAGCTGTCAATCATACTTGGGAACAGGGGTCAAGCTGTCAAGCATACTTAGGAACAGTTGTCAAGCATACATGTACTTGGGAACAGAGGTCAAGCTGTCAAGCATACTTGGGAACAGGGGTCAAGCTGTCAAGAATACTTGGGAACAGAGGTCAAACTGTCAAGCATACTTGGGAACAGAGGTCAAGCTGTCAATCATACTTGGGAACAGGGGTCAAGCTGTCAAGCATACATAGGAACAGCTGTCAAGCATACATGTACTTGGGAACAGAGGTCAAGCTGTCTAGCATACTTGGGAACAGGGGTCAAGCTGTCAAGAATACTTGGGAACAGAGGTCAAGCTGTCAAGCATACTTCGGAACAGAGGTCAAGGGGTCAAGCATACTTGGGAACATAGGTCAAGCTGTCAATCATACTTGGGAACAGGGGTCAAGCTGTCAAGCATACTTAGGAACAGAGGTCAAGCTGTCAAGCATACTTGGGAACAGAGGTCAAGGTGTCAAGCATACTTGGGAACAGAGGTCAAGCTGTCAAGCATACTTGAGAACAGAGGTCAAGCTGTCAAGCATACTTGGGAATAGAGGTCAAGCTGTCAAGCATACTTGGGAACAGAGGTCAAGGTGTCAAGCATACTTGGGAACAGGGGTCAAGCTGTCAACCATACTTGGGAACAGAGGTCAAGGTGTCAAGCATACTTGGGAACAGAGGTCAAGCTGTCAAGCATACTTGGGAACAGAGGTCAAGCTGTCAATCATACTTGGGAACAGAGGTCAAGATGTCAAGCATACTTGGGAACAGAGGTCAAGCTGTCAAGCATACTTTGGAACAGAGGTCAAGATGTCAAGCATACTTGGGGAAGAGAGGTCAAGGTGTCAAGCATACTTGAGAACAGAGGTCAAGATGTCAAGCATACTTGGGAACAGAGGTCAAGGTGTCAAGCATACTTTAAAACAGAGGTCAAGGTGTCAAGCATACTTGAAAACAGAGGTCAAGGTGTCAAGCATACTTGGGAACAGAGGTCAAACATTTACTCAAACTAATAAATGCAAAAGAGGGACACCAACAAAGGCCATGTTAATAGCATGAACAAGGGAACCTGTCTGTTGAAATGCTTGAAATGAAAGTGTTTTTTGGATCTGAGCATAAAAAAGAAACGGTGATAGATGATGACAAAATAAGAAACTTTTAGTCAAGAGATACATACCCCTTTCCTCTATTTGTGAGATATAACCAAACTCCAAGTTTTATTCAATTACAATTATGCAACTTCTTTCCTGTATCATCAACTCTGTGTTTTTGAGAGCAATTGTGTCTCAAAATCAACAAACCCATATCTACTGACGATCACTAACAACATTTTTGTTATGCATAATGGCATCAGACAATGATGTATTGATAAATTGGATGAACCCAAATGAATATTACCTGATTGGTCACTGGTTTGTGTTTAGCTACACCAAGAATACGTTCCAACTGTTTGTGATTGAAGTTGGAGACACCAATAGACTTGACCAACCCATCATCTACCAGTTTTTCCATTTCCTGCAGAATTTGAATGAGAATGTGAATTACCTAAATATTTATAGCATATTATTTTACACCTGTCACCGTAACGGCATTACAGCGTGCTGTAATTTTGTTGTATTGCACTGGGTATTTTCATCCTACCATATTAGCAAATATGAATTTCTAATATGGAATGATTACGCACGTAATGTCCTCTATAATAATAATAATAATAATAATATTTATTAAGCCTTCGAAACGGCAACAAAATAAAAGAAGAAAAGAAAACAGAAAAGGAAAAATCATACATATATGAAACTGAATAAAATAAAATAAAATTGACAATAGATCTCATGGTGAATTCATACTACTTTCATTTCTGTGTTTCCAAAGATGTTTAAGAAATTTTCGTACTTCTTTAATAACAATGCCCCCCAACTCATAATTCATATTCCATGGAATGTCACCAAAAAGCAAATTAGACTTGAAATTCACCCCCCCCCCCCCCCCGAGAGAAGGCAAATCGTTAGTGTTGGGGGGGGGGGTGATTGGACCCCACACGAAGTGGAAAGTTCACTAAATCTGTTCTAAACGTTTTGGATTATGGCTTGTCCATGATGTATGTCTGGGGGGAAAAGACAGTACCGTGCACAGACACATTGACCTCCGCTGCGTGTCAGTCAATACTCTCACCATACTTGCCATACTGCATATTTGCAGTATCCTTGTAATAACCTGATATTATTCAAATACAGTGATTGATTCAGCCGTGAGAAAGACAGGCAATCAAGAAAATGAGTGAGTGAATGAATGAATGAATGAACAAGTAAATGAATATTTATTTATTATTATTTTTTTTATATTGACTCAATTGAAATAAATAAATAAATAAATAAATAAATAAATAAATAATAAATAAATAAATAAATAAATCAATCAATCAATCAATCAATCAATCAATCAAGGTTAAGACATGTATACTGGCCACATACCTTATATGTATCAAGATAATCAATATCATCTGTTACATATGCACCCGTCTCATCTTTCTTCAGTCCTCCAGTCTCATCAGCCTTTAAGATATAAATTAAAGGGCCATGAGTTGTTGTTTTTGACAACTTTTTTTGTATTTTTCATTCCATGTAATGATAAATAGTCACATGACTCAGTATGTATTACATGGATTAACTTGTAGCCAAAAGATAACCTTTTAAACAATGCAATAAATATTCATGCCAGCTTCCATTTAAGGTAGCAAGACTATTATTTGTGTTGAAAATTAAGATTTTCACATTTATTTATTTATTGATGAAATGCACTATAAACTTTCATCTGATAAATTCGACATACCATAGAATGTCATGTAAGTTGGTTAAAATGTAGATTTTCTGAAGTCATTTGCATATGAATGTGTCAGACACAAGGTCACACAGCCACTGAAAAAATCGCTGATTTTGGTGTTTTCATCTGCCGATTTTATCGAATTATAGCTATCCTATTCCTTTATTTTTTTTAGATTCCAATAGCCTTACACATTTGGATGCCCCTACACATGTTAAAACAGACCTTGATGGGAAAACAAATCGCTTGTGCAGATAAACAAGCTTGAAAATCATTGCTGTGACTTCATGGACATTTTCTAGGAGTTTATGTTTTTCAAAATACTAGTACAAGGTCTTTAACAAAAAATAACGTATACTTATTGTTGTCAGATTAACACCAAATTTTCACAGCTTTAAGGTGACAATGTGAGGAACTTGAATGTGTCCAGACAAACTATTTCATGGATTATTTACCAACATGTTGTGGTTTGAGTTGGGGGCAATGCGACTAAAACAGAAATTAAAATTCAGCACACCACTTTTTAAAAAGCGTTGCTTGAATAAAACTGACCAGACACATTCAATTTACCAGATTATTGAACAACTAGGAAAAATGAAAAAAAAACTTCTTATCACCAGCACAACTGCGTAATTATTTTTTTCACAAAAAAAAATATTTTTTCACCTTTGATTGAGTAACGCGTCGTGGAATGCAGATACGGGCATGTAAAACACATTTTTGAAAAGCTTGAAGTATGGCGATTCCAAAAATATATACTTTCCTGGGTCTATTTGTAGTCATTTGGTCTCAATTAGAAGATGAAAACAAGTATGCAAATAATAGTCCCGCTACCTTAAGAACAGTAGTAGAAGACCCAATCTTTTAAAAATTGACGGGTAGCTGGTTCAAACACATAACCAGGTGATGTGTCATATATATGACATCAAGAAAATTCAACAGTTAAAATCAGTAAACTATTTAAAATTGTTGAATCCATATACCCTCTGCACTAGTTATATATGAAAATTACATGAGTACATCATGCAGTTGAAGAATGGTACATGCAGGTTTTTTTCAATTGTGACACGGAATATAATAAAACATAAATAAGAATGAATGAATGAGTAGAAATCAGATACACTAACAACTGTTGGAGCGTTTACTTGGAAGATTGTTTTGAATATTTTTTCTTAGATTTTTATGATTTTTGTCTGCAAGCTGTCTAACTGTAGGGACCGTAGAGATAGGCAAGTGTATCCAATTTCTACTCACTCAGTTATTCTAATTTATATTTTCTATATCAAGTTGAAAAAAGATGCATCTATCTTATGTACTGAAAAGTTTTGGTTGGTAAACCATCTTGCAGAAGACACAGAAGAAAATGGTGCATAGTATGTACGTTGTTGGTGTAAAGACGTCACAGGAGGAAATAGTGCATAGTATGTACGTTGTTGGTGTAAAGACGTCACAGGAGGAAATAGTACATAGTATGTATGTTGTTGGTGTAAAGACGTCACAGGAGGAAATAGTACATAGTATGTATGTTGTTGGTGGTAAAGACGTCACAGGAGGAAATAGTACATAGTAAGCATGTTGTTGGTGTAAAGACGTCACAGGAGGAAATAGTACATAGTAAGCATGTTGTTGGTGTAAAGACGTCACAGGAGGAAATAGTACATAGTATGTATGTTGTTGGTGTAAAGACGTCACAGGAGGAAATAGTCAATAGTATGCATGTTGTTGGTGTAAAGACGTCACAGGAGGAAATAGTACATAGTATGTATGTTGTTGGTGTAAAGACGTCACAGGAGGAAATAGTACATAGTATGTATGTTGTTGGTGTAAAGACGTCACAGGAGGAAATAGTACATAGTAAGCATGTTGTTGGTGTAAAGACGTCACAGGAGGAAATAGTACATAGTATGTATGTTGTTGGTGTAAAGACGTCACAGGAGGAAATAGTACATAGTATGTATGTTGTTGGTGTAAAGACGTCACAGGAGGAAATAGTACATAGTAAGCATGTTGTTGGTGTAAAGACGTCACAGGAGGAAATAGTACATAGTATGTATGTTGTTGGTGTAAAGACGTCACAGGAGGAAATAGTACATAGTATGTATGTTGTTGGTGTAAAGACGTCACAGGAGGAAATAGTACATAGAGGCTAAACAACACCATGGAAGAGCTACTATGATACTAAATGGCAAACATCACAGAATTACAGACACTGTCAGGACAGCAACACAAACAACGAAAATATAAATAATTACCAATAATGACAGTGACGATAAAGAAAAAAAAGAGACAATGTATATACAATGAAATGACACCAAATTACATCAATATTGGTCACTGGAATACAGCAGGCCTAAGATATAACTACAAACCAACTCGTCAAACATTGGATAGCAAAACAGAAAGAACATTAGACATAGAACATATCACATAAAAAACTACCACTTTTATGCAATGACTGAGACCTGGCTTGACAAGGAAAGTAAAGGACTGATACCAAAACCAATGGGATATTATGTGTATCACAAAATTAGAACAAAAAATAAGAAAGCATGGAGATCATCAGGTGGTATCAGCATTTTTATCAGAAATAGTATAAAAGAAGGAATCCAAATCATACCAACAAGAAATAGCTATACAATATGGTG